GTTCTGGTACTATAAAAATCCTTTCTAGTGTATTCTATCTGACTATGTGGAATGTGAACAAGGTGTTGTGAGGTGAAGGGGTTACTGGGTTTGGGTGTGGAGAAACAGGAGCACATTAGGCACATAAAAGGGCACATAAAGGGTTTGGATTGAAGAGGTGGGGGTGGATGTTGTGGAAGTCAAAATTACTTATTCAACAGGTTTTTATTATATAATTGTAATTGTAGGCAACAAGAGGCTTTGGAGACATAAATTATTATGTTGAAAATGTCCTTTTTAATGAGATAAGAAAAAGAAATTTAGAAGTTATTTATATCCTGGTGACCACAAAGGTAATACAAACAGAGAGGGAGACAAAGCAGAGGTCTTTTAAAATTAAGTCACTAGAAGTTCCAGCATGGGGAATATAGTCCATGGTATTGTGATAGTGTTGTTGTATGGTGACAGGCAGTAATTACACTCATGGTGAGCTCAGCATAACGTATAGAGTTGTCTAGTCACTACATGTACACCCGAAACTAATGTAACATTCTCTGTCAACTGTACTTCAATTAAAAACTGTACTTCAATTAAAATTAAAATCGTTATTCACTCTGAGAGTTCAATTACAAGATTTCCTTCGTATGTTTACTAAGAGTGGCAGAAAAGCCCAAAGCTTGTGTGAGATAATGAAAAATATTATGTTTTATATCTTTATTATTTTTATATCTTGGTTTCTGTCCCCAGTTCCTGGCTCAGAACTCCTAAAAGGTGATGAGAGCCACTGGAAGCATCTTTTGTTCTCAAATTTGGTCTTTGACCCTACTTCCTGACACAGACTTCCTAAATGCCTTGGAATTTCTTGGGTGTGTATCTTTGGTTCTAATGAAATGACTTTTGCTGGTTTCCTGGATGGGAGCCAGTCACGAAAAATACCAAGCCATGATTAGAAGGCTTAGAGCTCCATCCCCTATCCTCCAGCAAGGGCAGAGAGTCTGGAAATTGAGTTAATGATCATTCATTGCCTGAGTTTTGAAATCTCCACAAAAATCCCAAAGGTATGAGCTACAGGGAGCTTCCAAGTTGAAGAATAGGTGAAGGCGCTGGGAGAGTGACATGCCCTGAGAAAACATGACCCTTCTTATGTGCCTTCTTATGTGACCCTTCTTATGTGCCTTGCCCAATGTAACTCTCCATCTGCACCCTTCATCATAGCCTTTCAGAATAAACAAGTGAATGTAAGTGTTTCCCTGAGTTCTGTGAGCCCTTGTAGCAAATGAATCAAACCCAAGAAGGGGGTTGTGGGAACAAGGGTTCATAGCCTTGACTCACAGCCAGTCAGAAGTACAGAGAACAACCTGGGATTTGCTGTTGGCATTTGCAGTACAGGAGGAGGTAAGACAGTCTGGTGGGGCTGAGCCCTTAACCCATGGGATCTGACATTATTTTCAAGTAGATAGTGTCAGAATTGAGTGAAATTGTGGGACCCCGAGCTGGTACTGCAGAGGATTGCTTAGAGCTGGGGAAAACTGCGGACATTTGGTGTCAGAAGTGTTGTGAGTATGGAAAGGAGAGTAAAGGAGAAACAGCAAGAATTTTTCCTACACAGCTTGTAAATGGAATATTTTAATCAATTAAGCTCATAAAGCCTATTTACTATGAGAAACTGCATTTGTTCAAATAAACTATTGAGCAGAAATTGAATTGATCATAGCTGTAAACGATCTTACCAGCACTGTGATAATTAACCCACTACCTGTAAATGAATTCACAGACCCTGTGTTCAATTAACACATCCGCATACAAACTACATGGATTTTATTTCTCTACCATAGATGAAGAAAAAAATTTAAAAATGTTTCCTCTGATTCATCCAAGCAGAGCGTGTGTCCTCATTCCTCCACAAGTGAAGGGAAGGACTGGAGGTAAAAGAAAGGAATGAGAAGGAGAAAAATGCTAAGAGAAGCAAAGAGAGAAGAGGAGAGAAGATACATGGGACAGTAAGCCATCTGACTGCCGGTCAGAGCTGTATCTCAGGATCTCTGGTCTCAGATCAGTCAGGTACCATCAGCCAGAACTCTGGAAATCCATACAAAAGAAACCCATTTTGAAAGTAATTAGCAAAGTTAAAGATTTCTAATTTGCATTAGAAATTAGTGGGTTATTAGGAAAGAAATGGTGGGTTATTAGGAAAGAAATCAAGAACATTCTAATAATATGGATGGAGAATGCCAAGCAAACAGGGAAGGAGATGGACATAAAGGATGGAAAGGCATTTAGCTTCAGACTAATGGAAGGTGGAATTTATAATAACTGTATAATTATCAGTTGGCTGGGGGCACCTGGTTCCTTAGTCGGTTAAGCGTCTGCCTTCGGCTCAGATCACGATCCCAGGGATCAAGTCCCGCATCAGGCTCCCTACTCAGCAAGGAGTCTGCTTCTTCCTCTCTCACTCCCCCTGCTTGTGCTCTCTCTCTCTGTCAAATAAATAAGTTAAATAAATCAACAAATCAATAAGTAAAATTAATATCGACTGACTTAATTTTGTTCCTCAAGAAACCATCACAACTTTAATAACATGGATGTATTATACTCAAGACTTCTATGTCATATAGTGAAGTAGGAGTACAGCAAAATAAATTGGGGGGTTTTTGAGTAACAGCATTGGAAGAGACAGAAGACAGCAGTTTACATTGCAACTAAAAGCCTACCTAACCTAAGTAAAAAGGGTCCTTCTATATTCTAACCTGGCTCACTAGGATTCTACACTGGAGTTGGGAGCCAAAGCCCATGTACAAACAGAGAATTATTTAGACTTGCTTTGCTCTCTAGGACTGTATTTTCTCTCAAAAAGTTCAGGAGGCGGTGTCTCACTGAAAGTAGATTATGCTCTTTGGATCTCATAATCCAACCATACATTTATCTAGCATTATAGGGCGCCCTGCTTTGACATGACATTTATGTAGAGATGTACAATGAAATGCTATGCAACCATCAAAATGATAGATAAGATATTTAATGACATGGGGGAAATAATACAGATATGTTACAAAAGGAAATTGGATTATTAAACTATAAAGAAAGATGATGACATTTTTAAAAACTTTATAATTATATATATATACATAAAAGGAAAATATACAGTGGAATAACTTGACCATTAAGATGATGTTTACAGGAAAAATTAATAACATGAGAGTAACATTTATAATGTTAAATGAAAAAGGTAGATATAATATTGTATAATTAAGTAATTGAATAAAGTGTGACTTTGACTTTGTTAAAGGTGGATGTAGAAGAAAGGAGAAGGGAGAAGAGAACATAAGAATGTTGGCAGTGGGAGACACCTGGGTGGCTCAGTGGGTTAAAGCCCCTGCCTTCGGCTCAGGTCATGATCCCAGCGTCCCCGGGGTTGAGCCCCGCATCAGGCTCTCTGCTCAGCAGGGAGCTTGCTTCTTCCTCTCTACCTGCTTCTCTGCCTACTTGTGATCTGTCTGTCAAACAAATACATAAAATATTAAAAAAAAAAAAAAAGAATGTTGGCAGTGGTTTCCTCTGAATGTTGCAATTATGAGTGATATAGTATGGTGAAGGGAGTTACTCTCTTTAAACTTCCCTATACTCCTTTTAATGTGCATCTGCTTATTTATGATTATGTTAACACTTCTTAAATGTCTTCAACTCTTGATAAGTAATGCTTCCAGATAAGCTGCTAAATATTTCAAGAATTTACCTAACTCTAGTATAATAGAGGGAAGAGATGAATCTGAAGGGCCACCATCTGTAAAAAGAATGATAAATGCTCTGTGCCCTCCAGAAGGTGAGACAGTGACCAGCAGGCAATAGACACAGAAGAAGAGATTTGAACTCAGTGTAAACAAGAGTTTTCCAATAGTTATAGTTGTCTTGGGATGGAATAAGTTATCCTTAAGATGTAGAAGTGGTTAAGCAGAAACTCGAGGGCTTTTTGCACTGGGAGTACAGACAGGGGAGAGAAAGATGAGAGGACAGTGGGCTTACATGACCTCTAGAGTCCTTCTCACTGCTAACATTTCATCAGTGTATCAGTCCTTCACTCTATACAGCTTCTAAGATGGTCCCCGACAATCTCTGTCCACTGGTGTCCAGGCCCTGTGTAATTCCTGTTTACACTGAAAGAGCTGATCTGTGGAACCAACAGAATGCTGTGGAAAAGGTGGAGTATGACTCAGAAGCTAGGTCATAAAAGACACCATGGCTTCAGCCTGTATCTCTCCCGAATTGCTGGCTGTGGAATACCACATCATGAGCAATGTAAGCAGCCTGGAAAGGACTATGGGGAGAAAAACTGAGGACTTCTGTCAACCAGCAAAAACTCTGTAGCTATCTGAGTGATTTACCTTGGAAGCAGATCTTCCAGCTCTAGTCAAGCCACTGCAGAACACTGCATCCCCTGCTGACATCTTTATTCAACTTTAGGAGAAACCCTAAGTCAGAATGACCCAGCTAAGCCACACCTGAATTCCTTACCCACAAAGCCCTTAAATTTTATAGTAAGTTGTCATGTAGCATCAGATAGTGGTACAACACATTTTTACCTGGTTTACTCCATAACAGATTTGATTCAGTCATTCTAGCTGAACTATGCTACTAAGTATTTCTTCAGGGGGCAAAATTCTTAGCTCTTACAGATACACATTAGCAGCCTATTCATTTAACAGTACAGTTGAGCCCAGCACAGTTTGATGTCTTTAACATGCTCTGTTAGAGCAATGACATCTTGGCTTTAAAGAGATTCGTCTTATTTCTTCTCTGCTAGACAAAAGTAATGTGCTCTTTGTTCTTTGACACATTTGGTGTCTGTAAATAGTTGTAGCTATAATTATGTCACCCACATTTCTTAGCTTCCACCCATCAATATGCTCAGAAAAGAGGTATGCTACAAATTGCAATAGAGCATTTTTGAAAGGCTGTTCTCAGCATTTTAGCACCTAACAGAGACATTTTAATCTACATAAACAAGCCAAAGGCAAAGACAAAAATTCTATAAATTTGTTCTTATAAATAGACAACTAAACAATCTCTTAGAGGTTAAAAAAAACCCTATTTTTTAACACCTAAAAGTTATGAGATATTCTGGGTAAGCTTGATTATCAGAGAATACCACAAATAGACTTGGATGTTGTGTATCATCTGTGACAGAGTCAAAGAGATCTGTGGGATTGTAAGGATTCTTTGATGGAGGGGTAACTAATCTTGCATGTCCGCATGTGTAGACTCCTGTAAGCACTCGTACAACATAAACATGCTTTCTCCCATTGCTGTCTGGTGTGGAATATTTATCATTAGCAGAATATTTGGCATTAACAGCAAAATAGGTTCCTTGTCCATAGGCTGCTCCTATAAAGAGAAAGACAAAAGGTTTTCTAAAAACAGAAAATTATCGCAGTATGTAGAACCATGCCAAACCTGACACATTTTTTTAATGTCGTTCTTGCCCACCCAAGCCACTCTTCATCATTTCTACAATTCACTCCCTCTAGCCTTAGAAGGTTGCCAGCCTCCTTTCTGATGAAACGCAAAGAACTCTACCCTGATAATGACAAGATGGCTGCCATCTATGCTTCTACACTGCTTGGGTGTGAATAGTCAACACTAGAGTTCTCATTCATCTCATTCTAGTCAGCCAGATTACTTGCTTCCTTACCATTCTTCCCAGCATAACTGCGATTAAAGCCATGCTCATTGACATATGGCACTGAGTCTGCATCTGTCCCATGGAACAGAATTCTCTCATTATCTGTATGGCCATTCTTCATGTCCATGTGGTTTTTCTTTATCTGGTAGCTCTGCCAGATGCATACATTCTGTATCCGTTCAATCTACAAATGACAAAAAGCAAAATATTTTGAAAATGACTTTAGAGCTCAGTATAATGTGTTTGTTGTGGATTTAAAATAGCAATTTAGAGGAGAAGAAGGAGGACTGGAGGAGGGGAAAAAGGGAAAAGAAAAGAAAATGCAAATCAACAGCCAATTAATTCAGAGAGTAGGTAGCTTTCTGCTTTTATTTTTTTTAATATTTTATTCATTTATTTCCCAGAGAGTGAGAGAGAGAGAGAGAAAGAGCGCACAAGCAGAGGGAATGGCAGGCAGACAGAGAAGCAGGCTCCCTGTTGAGCAAGGAGCCCAATGCAGGACTCAATCCCAGGACCCCGAGACATGACCTGAGCTGAAGGCAGACACTTAACTGACTCAGCCACCCAGGCATCTCTGCCTTCTGCCCTTAGGAAAAGGCTAGGTTAAGAGTATCTATACTCTGTAATAGTGCTTATTATAATCTATTTTATATAATAGAACTTAGAAGTTATATAAAGACATTTACCTACATATATTATCCGGAATTCCTGGAGATTCATTTACATTCAAATTCTTATTCAAGGGGCACCTGAGTGGCTCAGTTGGTTAAGTGTCTAACTCTTGATTTTGGCATAGGTCATGATCTCAGGGTTGACAGAATCCCATGTCAGGCTCCACACTGGGCTTGGAGCCTGTTTAAGATTCTTTCTCTCCCCCTCTCTCTCTCAGCTCCTCCTCCATTTCTCTCTCTCTCCCCTTTATAAATAAATAAATAAGTAAGCAAATAAATAAATAAATAAATAAATAAATAAGGGGTGCCTGAGTGGTTCAGTCAGGTAAGCATCTCACTCCTTTTTTTTAATTTTAAGATTTATTTATCTATTTGAGAGAGAAAGAGACAGAGACAGAGACAGAGACGAGTGTAAGCAGGAGGGGCAGAGGCAGAGGGAGAGAGTATCTCAAACAGACTCCATGCTGAGCATGGAGCCAGAGGTGGGGCTCAATCTCATGACGATAAGACCACAACCTGAGCCAAAACCAAGAGTCAGATAGCCACTGACTTTTGATCTCAGGTCAGGTCTTTGTGAGTTCAAGCCCAGTATTAGACTCTATGCTTGGCGTGTAGCTTACTTAAATAATAATAATAATCTAAATAAATTAAAAGAAAATAAAAACAAATTCCTACTCAAAAATTTGTAGTCATTCAGTAATTATTTCCTTAAGTCCATCTGATCTCTAAAACCATCCCATTGGCTTCTTCCAACAACAGTTCTCTTCCATTGCTCTAATTATGGTCACAAATCACCTCATAACTGCCTAATCTAATGACTATTTCTTTCTAGACTCTCAATAGCATTTCAAACCATGAATCATCCCCTCCTTGAAATTTTGTCTTCCTTTAACTTTTTTTCAATACATCATTCTCTACTGGTTCTCCTTCCTTCTAGAAAATGAATCTAACATACACTTAGTAATCATCTATTGAATATCTACTATGAATGAAGCATGTGTTGGATCTCTGAAAGAAACTTTCAGTCTAGTGGGGGAGAAAGACAAGTAAAAAAATCTCTGCCTCTCAGAGGGATAAGGGGTTGGTTAGGAGAACACACACAGACTATGAAAGCAAAAGAAAAGGATCCAGGTAATCTAAGTCTATGGAAAGAGAAAAAAATCCAAAATCATGATGTCCTAGAAACAAAAGAAGAGAGTTCAAGAAGAACTGTGTGCACCCCCATGTTCACTGCAGCATTATTCATAATAGCTAAGATATGGAAGCAACCCAAGTGTCCACTGATAGATGAATGGGTAATGAAAATGTCACACACACACACACACACACACACACACACACACTACTATCAGGATATGAAAAAGCAAAAAATCTTGCCATGGACCTTGAGGGCATTATGCTAAGTGAAATAAGTCAGACAGAGAAAGACAAATACCATATGGTTTCACTTATATGCTGGATAAAAAACAAGCAAACAAACAAAATCCACAAAAATAAACCCAAGTTCATAGATACAGAAAACAGATTGATGGTTGCCAGAGGCAGGGGTGCAGGGTAGACACATGAGAGAGTGGGCCAAAAGGTACAAATTTCCAATTATAAAAGAAATAGGTCAGGGGGATATAATGCACAGGATAGTGACTATGTTAATAATACTGAATTGCATATTTGAAAGTTGCTAAGAGAGTAGATCTGAAAAGTCTTCATTACAAGAAAAAAAATCTTTTATAAGTAGGTATGATAAAGGATGTTAATTAGATTTACTATGGTGATCAATTTGCAATATATACAAATATTAAAATACATTATATACCTGAAACTAATATATGTCAATTATACCTCAATTTCAGTAAATAATTAAAAAATAAATACATAAATGAGAAGAATGGAGCGGTTACCTATAGCAGGTATTGAGGAGAAGTCAAGTAATAAAAGCAGGAGGGAAAGTTGTTTTGAGACAGATGAAGACCTCAAGCAGAGTGTTGAAATTTTGCAAAGGGGAATGCATGAAGGAGTTGACTGGAAGAAGTAATAAAGGATTCCAGGCACCTGGAGAGTCCAGCAGAGGTTGGCAACCAGGAATTAATAATGATTTTATCTAGGGGCAGCAGGAGAGAAAGTATATTATAGAATTAATCCAAAAGTGAGGTGTTTCTACATGGGTATAATAGAAGAATAAGAGCCAAGAAAGTTGCAGATATTGGGTAAACACAATTGAACAAGGTTCTTATACTCTCAACAGCTTTTAATATCAATGAAGTATCTCCTCCTTTAAATTCTGTCCTTTCTGCAGGAATGTCTCTCTTTGGATTCTCTTTCTTTCTCAGGAAGAAAGTTCATTCTGTAGGTATTGTGTCCTATGATATGCTAGGCACCAGGATAGGTAATGGGAATGCAACTCCTACTTTAAGAACCCCACTGTCTAATGGGGGAGTCAGGCACATGAAAGCTTATGAAAGCACAATTTCTTAAATGCTATAATGTGGTTGAGTACACAGTTTTATGGAAGTAGCAGCCAGATTTTTAAATGACTAGGATGTCACACCCTGCTCTGATAACAGGGTATGATAATGACCTTCTAATAAACTCCTGTACTTTCCTGGCTAAAATTTTTATGCAGCATGGTGAACATAGTGAGAATCCCTGAACATCCATTCTAATTCATCCCCATTGTACAGCAACTGCTGGTCTGGGTGGAGTTGGACTCACTACAGTTCTCCACTGAGTGGAGAATTGGGCGGAGCATAATTGGGTCTAACCAATCAGGGTAATCTCATGTTGGGATCGTACAATGATGGCATTTGATAGCCCAGGTCCAAGCCAATCAGCAAATAGCACTCTTGGGACATAGACTGGTTGGAGGGCTCCGCTCAACACAAAGCCTGGGACTCTTATCCAGTGGTTGTGTCCCTTCCATGGGTTGTGAATGGAGGAAGCAGAGACCCCCTGATTGCCATGCACAGCCATCCTACAATTATGAAGAGAGTCCAGCCTTTACATGAAGTTGACCCTGTGGATGGCAAAGCCAGAGAAACTGGATCCAGCTATTCCAAAGACCATCCTACTTCTGGACATTTCTAATACATTTCTCCTTGTTTAATCAGTTAGAATGTGTTTGTTTGTAAATTGTAAGTGAAAGTATCCAAACATATAAATGTCACTTTGGGGAATATTCTTCATTACTGTTAATGAATGAACCATTAGATTTGAAGTCTATGGAGATTGAGTTAGTCTAATTAAAATAAATATAGTAAGGTACAAAGGAAGGAGGAGTGTTATTTTAAAAAAGATGGCTTTCATGTTAGTAGTTCTTTGATAGTTAAAAGAAGTAATTTTTTTTAAAAGAAGTTATTTTTAAATAAAATATTACCTTCTCTATTTTGTAGGAAGGACAAGTCTCAGAGAACTTGTCCTTTATGGTGTAATATTCTGACTGTCCGGGGAGTAGCTCAATCACACAGGATAGCTGCTGATTCATGTCAGCCCAGTGTTCAGGAAGATTACCTGAAAAGTCAACATTTGGTGAAAACACAATATCCATTTCCAGGGATCTCTGAAAATCAGGGCACTTCCTATGCTCTTATTTCACATTCATCTAATCCTGGTCTTTTGGATAAGAAAAAAACAAAACAAAACCAAAAACAAGAAAGCTACACATTTCAGTTGCTGCTTTTATCCATTCTCAGTTGGTAAACACAGATGAAATGAACGGTTCTGATGTTAATATGACATATATTAACTAATGACCTAGCTCAAGTATTTAGGTATACTTTCATTCACTATAGCTTGAAATTATAATTTCCCCAGAAAGCTCTATGGAATTAATTCCATAAGAAACTGATATGTGGGGGTTCCTAGGTGGCTCAATTTGTTGAGCATCCAACTCTGGATATCAGTTCAGGGCTCAATCTCATGGTCATGAGTTCAATCCCCACACTGGGCTCCACAGTGAGTGTAAAGCCCACTTTAAAAAAAGTTTTTAAAAAAACCTGATGTGTAAACATGAAAGCCAATTCATCAATGTTTTCATGTTTATCAGTTTTATTTATTGTGGTTATTATTTTTCTTTTGAAATGTGATTACCTTGTTAAAGATATCTAAAGACATTGTTCTATACCTTACCTTCTATTTCCAAAGTAGAGAAAGCACCATATAAAGAAAACAGCGGAAATACTAAGTGAACACTTTCACATAGGGTGATGATGCTCAAAATTTTCCTTTGCTTTCCAATGGCTTCTAGAACCTTCTAATACATTGAGACTACACACCAAGTTGCAGAGATGGCATGACAAGTAGAACTATGGACAGACTGTGTTAGAGAAGGAAATGCCAGAAAATGGCACAACACCACAGGTAAAGGCCAAAGGATTTCTCCTCACAAACAAAGCCAGAATTTACTAACTTTTAGTGCAAGATATCCAGGGCTGGGAGAGCAATCAGGTACTCTCTTCCTGTTTAGCAAGTCCATCCAGGGAATGAAGTTCTGTTCACAAAGGCAAGCATCAAAGCCTAATCTGGAAGCTGTCTTCAAATTCTACTTTAAGAGAGTTTTTCTGGAGAAGTTTCCCACAGTAGGATGTGTAGTTTGTGCAAATTAAATTCTTTCCCTTCTCCCACTGTCCACTCCTTGCAAAGCTTTGGCCTAGTAATGTGGAGTCCTAGGTCTTAGAGTCTCCTCAAACCTGCTACTTTATTTTCCCCCAATACAGAGGCAAGCCTGAGAAGCAAGTCAAGTTTTTCTTTGGGCTCTCTCTTCCTTTCACATCATGAGGTTGCAGAGCAAAAATACCAGTGCTTGGAATCAGAAGAACTGCTCAGCCTCAACCTGTGGCCAGCCATAAGGTATGGAACAAATAGTACCAATTTTGAGTGAGTTTTCATTTTCTCTTTTGTAAAATGGAACTGATAGAATCTGCTCTATTTGTCACCTCATGGGATTGTTTCAAGTTTAAAATACAATAAAGGTTGAAAAACACTTTTAGGGAATCCTTTACAAACATAGTTATTATTCTTAAAAAAAATAATTAAACTTGATATTTTCTACATCTTAGAGGCATTTGTATTTAAAGAAGGAGCCACCTAGGAGCACCTCGGTGGCTCAGTCAGTTGGGCGTCCAACTCTTGATTTCAGCTCAGGTCATGATTTCGGGGTCATGGGATTGAGGCCAGTGGCAGACTCTGTGCTCAGGGCAGTCTGCTTCAGATTTTCTCTCTTTCCCTCTGCCCTTCCCCACCCTTCCGCTCTGGCACTCTCTCTCTCTTTCTCTCATTTTCCTCTCTAAACTAAAATAAAGAATCTTTAAAAAATAAAAATAAAAAGGGAGGAAAGTTTAAAGACAAAGGTATTTTCTTGAGATGAACAACTTAAATCACACCCTTAAACCACACCAAACTGTGCTACTTATTCTGCTTGTGGACAGAAGGTGTCCTTGGACAATTTAGAGATGAGAAAGCCAAACTCCAGGAAGGCTGAGTACTCACATATCCAATGTTACATGGAAGGCCACCATCCAAGGAAGGAAAACGATTGTGTTCTAGTGACTCTCAGCCCAGTGCTTCATCGGCGGTAACATGATGGCTACCTTTTTTCAAGTGTTTACCAGGTACCAGGTACTTTCCTGAGTGCTTTTCCTATAAATCTCTTTTAAAAGATAAAGCTCAATCTACTTTCCCATTCCTGATGTTTGGGGTAAATGCCATCCTACACCTCTCCTTGTGCAGCCTGCCTCAGTTTCCTCTTCACAGGTAGGGGTGGGACGACACACCAAGAATCCTGGCTCTGCCTTCAGCTTCATTCTCTCCACCTTCATAGTCTCCATGGATAGTTGGAGCCACACTCCATGACTTCAACTCCCACCTATTTACATGACTCCCAAATCTGTGTCTCTAGGGTGTGATATTCAATTCGTGCCCAGTAACAGTGCTCTGAATCAATGAATAGCTTAAACGTGCTTTGGAAAAGCAATTGTGTATCATTTGCTCAAATGAAACTCCAAGTTGTCCTCTGTAAGTTCTCTTTTTAAAGAAGTCCACATGATAAAAAAAAAAAAAAAATCCTCATGATAAATTCTTACTAAAATCAAGTTTATCTCTGCCAACAAACTTGTTATCTGACATTTTATCTGAATTATTCCTTTCATCTAACAACAAAGATTATGTAAGGCAGTTTTGTTGTTGTTTGGTTTTGCCCCAAGTGCCATTCATTGGGTCACTGGTCTGCTCATTTTACTTATCTTTTATTTGCTTGTCTCTTATTCTTTCTTTTCTTTCCTTTTTTTTTTTTTTTTTTTTTTAAGAGAGAGAAATGAGCAGGGAGAGCAGAGGGAGAGAAGGAGAGAGAATCTTCAGCAGGCTCCATGCCCAGGGCAGAGCCCAACCTGGGGCTCCATCTCATGACCCTGAGACCACATCCTGAGGGAAAATCAAGACTGGAACATTTAACTGACTGAGCCACCCAGGTACCCCTTCCTGTTTTTTAAATTTCAGAAGTCATTTTAAATTCTTGGTGTAAGCAGGGAGTGGATGAACCAGTTAATTTGTATTTAAATACAAATTTTCTTCTGCAAGGACCGAAGGGGGAAATGTTAATTTATATATCCCTAGGTACTCTAGTAGGTATGTGTTATTTTTAACCATCCAGCAGCCTCTTCCCCTTCTTCTGTTAAAAGCATCTTGAATTTCCTTTGGTGAACAACTCTTCCTTGTTGCTTCAGAGTGATCCCCTTCAGTTCAAGAATAGAGCATGTGACTCTGGGTTGGCTGATTTGTATAACTCCAGTTCCCTAGCTGCAATGATGACCTAAGCTGATTCAGTAAGAAGGAATTTCTGCCTTATGTGAACAGCTCTGTTCCCAGGCATCACATTCCTGTGATGAGTATATATTACCCCCGGATATACCCTTTCCTATTGGATCTGACCGTGTAGGCATATGGTCCTGAAACTGTTAGCTGCCATCTTTAACCATGTGAAACCTGAGAATAAAGACAACACAGTTGACAAGAGAGTGTGAGATGAAGAAATTCAGATGAAGAGAGATGATGAACTAGAGAGATGAAGAAATCTATATATAGATTATACAATATGAGCACCTGGATCAAACTGGCCCTGAAGCCAGGTATGCCTGGACTTTATAGTCATGTGAGTCAATTAATTCCATTTTTCCATAAGCCAGTTTAAGTTGGATTTTCTATTACTTGCTATTGCAAGAACATTAACAGATCCAACTGCTATTTTTATTTACTTTGTGTGTGTGTGTGTGTGTAGCTCTTACATGTGCTATATGTGAAGGCACATTGAATAGTTATCGGTAAGTTAAGTATAGAGAGAACTGAAATTCTTACTGGCAGGGTCAGGCAATAATTTCCAGTTTAGAGACAGCTGCTGATGACAGGTGTACTTCATCATTAGTAAAACCCACAGTGCTCTATGAGTGAGTGCCCAAAATGGGCAAAAACCGTGATTGCAAGAGGAAGCTGCTTTTCTAGTTATTTTCAAAGCAGTACAGAAGCCTCAAAATGGGGAAAGAGGAGCAGATCAATAGATACTTAAACATTATGCATAAACACCCATCTTACAGAGAAGAAACTAGGAATCTGCCTGCTCAGGAAGTAGTACAACCAAATGACCCTGACCATTCCCTTCTTCCATCTGCTTCCATTGTCAGGCTAACTTGTCTAGTGGTGGATAATCAATAAATGAGTATCAGTCAGCTGGTTCATAGCTACAAGGAGCACTGAGGGGCGATACTAATCCATAATTAAATAATGAGGTAACTGGCTTAGGATTTTCAAAGCCCATCCCCCTCTTCTGCTTTCCTCATTTCTATTCTCTTCCGTTCCTTTGCTATTCCTGCTTCCCAGGAGTGATTCTGCCCTCAGAATAATCAGCAGATAGGAGGCTGCATTCCATAGTTCTTGTATTTTCCCACATATTATAGGAGGTTATCTGTAGAATCCTAAAACTGATAAAACAATGAGCATTAATAGCTACACATTTGCTAAGTGATAGGAGAGATAACCACATGATTTTCTGAAGATCATTTACATGCAGTCTCGAAGCGTGTGGGCTGAAGGACAGGTGATGCGGACTTCTCTCTCTTTCTCATGTTGTCATAGAATACATGTAGCAATTCAAATAGAAAGATGACAACTTTAACTCTTCGTAATGATGGGATGGGATGTTTCTGTGCGAAGTCTATAACAGCACTGATCATATCATCAGCAACTGTGGTTGGGTTTTTTCCAGCATTTCCTGAAAAAGAAACATTTTTTTAAGTGACCAAAAGAAGCTTTAGCTGGTGTTAGTCAAGTGATGAGATCTGGCAAACGTGGTTTTTGGTGTTGAGAAAGAAGCAAGCAGCCCGACAGCCAGAAATGGATCTGGCACTCCTAGCTGGGTGTTTGTGTCCTCTGGCTGAACACAAACAATTTCATAGAATATCATCTGATGTAATCGCTCTGTGGCTGTGATCAATTTAGCCCAGCACAACTACTGAATAATCATGTCTGACCACAGGCAAAACATGAACACTATCCAAACCACAAAAATGGCCAAACAGTCCCCATCTTAACTAGTAGGAGCAAGTGCTGCTTCATTAATAATCACAACTTTGGCCATTTTCTTCGCCTCTTCCAGGTAAGATATCCAATCATTGAACCATGCCTGCTTCCTCAAAGAATCCAATCCAGAGCAAAACCCCATGTACTTGAGACCACCACAAAGTTACCCAGCACAAGCTCAGATCTATTAATAGTCCTTAATGACCTCTTGGTGAGATGCAGCATAGTTCTTCATAATGTGTGCTCCTGGTGGTCTTGAACTGTAGGGCACTGGCAGCGCAGAGAACAGAGCATGTGATCCGGGTGCAGAAGAACTGGGTTCATGTCCTGGCTCTCCACTGATTAGCTGTGGGATTTTGGCTAAGTCATTCAATTCCTCTCATATTAGTTGGCTAGGGAGGCCATGACAAACTGCTTAATTGGTAATTGGTGGCTTAGGCAACACAAATGTATTTTCTCACAATTCTGGAGGCTAGAAGTCTGACATTGAGGTTTTGGAAAGACTGATTTCTTTTGAGTTCTCTGAGACTTGTAGATGGCTGTCTTTTCCTTATGTCTTCATATGGTCTTCTCTCTGTATCTGTGGATGTTCTAATCTCCCAACTAACAAGGACACTGGTCATATTGGATTAGGGACCACCCTAATGACCTCATTTTAACTTAATTATCTCTTGAAAGACCCTCTCATCAAATATAGTTACATTCTGAGGTACTGGGAATCACAGTTTCAGCATACGAATTTGGCAGGGAGAACATAACTCAGCCCACAACACCTCCAAACTTCAATTTACTCAATTTTATACAATTGGGGTGATAATAGACGTAATAGCTCATAGAGTTAAGAATGTGGCAGCTAACAGTATAGTAATTAAGAGCATAATGGTAACAAAAAAAAAGTGTAACATAAAAAAACAATGTAAAGGTTGAAATGTACAGACCAGGCTGCCTGGGTTTGATCTTCGCTATGTTGCTGACTAGCTATGTGACCTTGTACATTAATACTTCAAATTCTTATCTGCAAAATGGGGAAACTAAGATTCATGAGTGGGTCTGGTTTTGTAGGGTTTAAAATTTATACATCTCAGAAAAAGAACACAAAATAAAAACACAAAATTATGTATAAAAGGGACTCTTTATAATAAAAAAAGAAATCACAATAAAGTATAAATTTTGAAATTCTGAAAAACCATATTCCTACATCAACTTTCCTTAGCTATATTCCAAAAATGCTCGCAGCCTTTCCAATGCTCAGTGTCAGGAAAAGTCTGAGAAGTCAAAGTGAGAAGAAATAGTGATCCTGACCCACAGAGGTTAAAAAATCTTACTTTTGAAACTTTATTAATCATACGATCATGTGGCGGCATTATTCGGGCCCACCCAGGCCCTTTTAAAAAGCTTGTGCGACTGAGCATGAATGAATCAGGGAACTGGTCATTAGCATCACCTTCAACTAAGAGCAAATTATTGTATGCTATGATAGAGATGAGGAGGAAAAGTTTTCCTAGAAACTGGTAGTGGGATGGACCCGAGCTTCTTGCTTAAGGAAAGCAACTGCATCCTACTCATGGTTTTATGCCTAGGAACTTGCAGCGGGCCTGGGAAACAGCCTTTCAATCTAATAAATGCACGAATGAGAGCCAGTGGGAGATGCTGCGGTCAACCCAATAGCAGACGTATTAAAGTTTTGGAAGCCAGAAGCAAGGCTGACACTGAATAACCCCTGGGAGAAGACTTAGTAGAATGTGCTGTGGGGTCTGGGGGCACAAAGAAGCAAGCTGGCAGGATAGCCAGAGCATCGTGGCACCACCAAAGGAGGAGATAAGAAAATGGGACAACTCAGGAAAGGTGACTGTTTGCAAGAGATGATGAGGATGAGTTTGGATTCTGCTATAAAGTCTCTGGTAACAGAAATCTGCCAGAGGAGATCCGGGGGAAGGAGAAATGCTGATCTGAGAATCAGTGCAAAAAGGGTAACAGATACAGTAAAAGCAAACAAATCATCCAAAGGAAAAACATGAACAGTAAGAACACCATGATGTTAAGGGCCAAACATGCAAAGATACCTGGGGAACATACAATAAAGAATAAAGATGTATTAAAGAGGCATAGGCCCCAGAGATGTCCCTCCGGGTCTGCAAGTTGGCCCACTCTCTGATTTACATCACTATCGCTGCCTGGAATCAGCAACGAATTCACTAACAGTGAGGTGAAGTCTAAGGGAATGCAGATGATTCAGAATCTTGGATTGCTAAGAGGCTACAAACCTGTTCCAATGGCCGGAAGGGAAACAGAAGTGTACTTCCTCTGCTCACACTCTTCTAGAACAGTGGAGACTGTTTTCCTGACATCATTTTCCCCGAGAACATGGATTATTATCTTGCACATCAAGTTTCCACCTTGTGTAACTATAAAATCTCCGTGAGGCTGTGCAGCTAGAACAAGGGGAAGAAAAGGAAACACACAGCAGTTACTTACAGGAAGCGGCAAGAGGATCACCGAACCATGAAAGCAGCTGCTGTTGAAGAAAGCTGTGATGATTTCTGAACAAGTCCAGCCTCCCTCCATCTAGCTGGTTTCACTCGCTGGGACTGTGCCCGGCTCATTTTCTGTACAACCAGGATTCTTTAACTCGACAACTACATTGTTGAATGTGGGGTGCTATTCAAAAGCACTCTACCTCCTTTGGTCTACTCAATCCCCAAAACAAGGCTATTGGTAGGTACTATTTTGTCCATTTCACAGATTCAACAGAAGCTCAGAAAGGTAAGGTCCACAGCAAAGATTGCCTGGGATTTGAACTCAAGCGGTCAATGTCCAGACCTCTTAACCCCCAAGCTGTTGTCCAGAAGAGCAATGTCTATGCTTATTCGGCTAGATTCGTTTTTCAAGGAGAGAAAAGCAATGCATTTGGTGGTGTGCAAGAATTGGAGAATTGGTGTCCTAGAACACCTCAGACCCACACAGGTTCCACCCTGACTCACGTCAGGTAGACGATGTCCTATCACAAGTAGAACAAGGTTGGGGAAAGAGAACGATGACTTATACAGCACTTTAGGCAACTTTTCCTGTTCATTGTCCTGATGCTCACACCCACCCGCAAGGAAGCCATTACCATACTCCTGCCTGGTTAGTAGAACCCAGAACAAGCTCACAGATAAGAGAAACAAAGCTCTTATAGATCAGATGGCAGGCTCAGGATCCCTCAGTAAGTGGTGGAGGCTGGACTATTAGGAACCATGCCTGGGTTCTGTTTAATAGTTAGGAAGAGACAGGTGGGATGGTGAAAGTCACACCCCCTGGATCTGCTCTCCCAGAGAATCAACCTCTTTCCAAAGTGCTCACCACTTACTCCTCCTGTAGATCCTATTACAGTCTTGTTAGCCCTCTAATCTCCTAGGGGTCGTAACCAAAAGTAACATGTAACCATACCTAGTATAGCACATTCATTTTCCACAGCTGGTCCGGCACCTTCTAAAATTGCTTTTGACACCCCTAAGTAAGAAAAAAACATTAAGTTAAAATTAATTAAAATAAATTAAACTTATTTTAAGTTAATTAAATGTAATATTTAATTAAATTAAAATAAATTTAAATTAGTTAAAATAAAAAGCATTAGTTCAAATGCAATGCATGATTATAGCTTTTGTACATTAGACTTTCGTCCAGCTCACCCCTTTGTGCATAATTCATTGATGCCCCCCACAGAAAAAAACCACCGTTTCCATAGCAACTTTCATTCAGGCTGAGTAATAAACACTCTGAGCTACAGCGTGAGGGAACTGCTCAACAGTGGACAGTCCCCTGTGTCTAGAGCTCTACAGGCTCTATCTGTACAGGGATATTTTTGCAGTTATTTGAAATTTTTTGCATTCTACCCTTATTATTTCATAAAGTTGAAAAACATAAAAATGAAAGTTCGGATACTAATGAGAAGCATGGAGCTCAAAACTGAAACACCACTGAGCATTCCACAGAAGTTCTGCGGTTCTCGTGTTGTTTTTTCACAGGGAGACACGCAGCTGGCTGCCTTCAGTCCTGTGAATCCTCCAGTCGAGGCTGGAGCTTCACCATCTGGTTCTTGCTGGTGACGGCAGGGTTGAGCGGTCGGAAGCACAAACTATGCATGTGACAGCCTGGGTTAGGGTCGCCTCTGCCACTTACTGGCTAACATGGGACTAGTCAGTTCCTCAACTATTATAGAGTCTGGCACACTACTCCCCTAACATGGGTTATTTGAACATTAAAAGATGCTTCGTGCGGAATCTGGCCCACTGAAAGCACTGAATAATTTTTAGTTATTTTATCATTATAAAGATCAATCTATCCTCTATCTATTTATCTACTTATCATCTATCTAGGTCTCCTTGATTATATATGTGTGTTATGAATTGTCTCTTTTTAAAAAATACCTTTTTGGGGGCATTTGTTTTGGTCTCTGACTTTGCAAGAATGGAGATTTTCCTCAATTATCAAGTGACACTCACCAGTCCATTCCTATTCAGAGTGAGTGTGGGAGCACCCTGAAAGGAGGCTTGCCAACCAGGAGGCTTTAGTGTAAGGTAAGCAGGCGGTAAATACTAGACTTCAGGGCAGCCGGTTTCTCTCCAGAAGGATCCTCCAATCTCCTGTCTCAGAGGGCATAAACCCGTCTGCCGTTCTGGGAGCTGCACGGGGATGGGGCTGGACCTCACTGTTCAGTAAGGAAGCTTTCACTTGAACACTGTCTAGCTCCCACTCTCTTCTCACCTGTGCCTGCTGTTCTAAGTCCAAAATCTCTCTGGTTGGTTTCCCTATAGAATAAACCTCCCATCTCTGGCCAGGGAAGACCAAGGGAAGTTACTGGGGCATCAGATGGATGGAGAATAGAATAAAGGGGTCTAAGTGTTGCTCATACAGAATTGCATCTGATTCTGTTTCCATCTTTTCCTTGTCCCCTGCCTTCCCAGGTACCTGCTGCTCCAACTTCTGTGTCTCTAGGGACTACCATTCTCTCCTGCATATTCTAAGTTTTCACCACTGGCTAGCTTCTTCTCATATTCTAAAAATACACTGCTGTGTCTTGTTCATTATTGGTTTTCCTCCAGCTCTCTTTTTCCTTTTGGGTTTACACCCTTTTATTTCCTTTACTGTTGCTTTAATGGAATTTTAAAAGAAGGCAGGTAAAAATGCCTATGTTCAACCTGTCATATTTTACATAATTGAATGTCCTTTATGTCTGCATTTGTGAATGACTGATACATTGGATGGATAGTCTACATAGCCATTTCCTACATAGTAAGTGCTATAGTATTTTGCAGCTTAGAAAATATTGAAACTTCTCTTTCTATTTATGTTTTATCTTACCCTTTTAATTTAAAAGTTAATACTTTGTAATAAAAGTATATTAACATGAGAGTATATGTATACAAGTTATACACAAATAGACACGTGGGGAGGACATGCTCAAAGATGCTCATTCACTGGAGGTGTTCAGACATTCCAGCAAAAATCAAGAAAAAGGGGTCGAATTTCATTTCTGGGTCAGTGTAACATAAGGAAGATTATAAGAAGTGAGATATGAGTGCCAACTCAGTTACATAGAAAGGGAAATAAAAATAAAACAAACTTATTAAATTAGAAGTGTGGAATTTTGATGGTTCAGAGCTAGAAAGGGGATGAGAGCTAACCTAGACTAAGTCCAGTGCATGGCTCCCACCTCATCTTCACAGTGCTGTGCCCCATCTAATCCTCCAGGAAATCAACATTTGACAGGCAGAGGAACTGAGCCTCAGAGGGGATAAAGTGATTGTCCCAAAGCCACACAATGGTAAGTGGCAGAGCTGGGATTCAAACCCAGTTCTTTCTGATTCCAGGGCCTACATATGTCCAACAACACTCTTCTACTCGGGCAACATTAGCCACAATTTCCTTCCCACACATGAGTCATGTTAATAGTTACAATCGCGTACATTGCTTAAATAAAGTACCTGATTTCAGATTAAATGTTCTTGTTGTTGAGTTTACAATCACATCTGCCTTTTCTTTTCTAATATCTCCAGTAGCAATCTGGAAAGTAATTGCACCGATTTTCATTCCATATGAAATGATTCCACGGCTGGAGACAGGGCTGAAGGCCCCTGAAAAAAAAGCAAGCAAACGAAAGAGTAGCTGGAGAATGAACAACAAGGGGCCACTGTTCTCTTCCCAGTCTTCTTTCTTCCCACCTACATAAGCGCAAACTGTACCGTGCCTGGATGGGTTTTCTTTTTTAAGGAAATTAAAAAATAAAGCTTCGTGGCAGGAGGAGGATCAATTTCTCAGTTAGATAGGATGAAGCAGGAATACCTGACTGGACCGTCAGCTTGTCTGCAAGAGTTGCTGCAGCCTCATGAGAAAGGCATGAGGAAGGACAGAGGGCCAAGTGTCCCCTCATGTCATGCTCATGTCTCTGGGAAACTTTTTTTCAAGCTTTTTTGAACTATGGCAAATAAGAAATGTAAATATTTAAGGTGTACAATGTGACTCTCAACATGAACGTACGCTATGAAATGACTGTCCAATTGGGCTCATAGCACACCCATCATTTCCCACAGTTACCATTTTGTGTGGGGAGTGTGTGTGTGTGCGTGCGTGCACGTGCGAGTGGTGAGAACACCCGGGATCTGCTCTCTTAGTGAGCTTTGAAAATACAGAACATTATTATTAACTCCACTCTGTGCTGTGCATTCGGTCTCCAGAATTTATTTGTCTTATGACAGAAAGTATGTCCCTCCAGGTGATTCTTTTACTTTCATTTTGCAGAAAAGGGAAATGGTCTCAGTGTGGAGGTCATTTGTTCAATTATTTGGGGGGAAGATTTATTTTTATTTGTTTATTTGAGATAGAGAGCACATGTGCACATGTTGGAGCAGTGCAGGGGGCCAGGGGCGGGGTGCAGAGGGAGAGGATCTCAAGCAGACTCTGCACCAGCATGGAGTCCAAAGCGGGGCTCGACCTCAAAACCCTGAGATCATGACCTGAGCTGAAATCAGGAGTCAGATGCTCCGCCAACTGAGCCACCCAGCCGCCCCTGTCCAGGGTTAAATAACAGCTCACTAACTTCACATAGGAGCTTTCCTGTGGCTTCGCATCTCACTGGCATAACAGGATCAAGGCTGCTCTGAGGAAATCAGCCTTACCGTGTTGGCATAATGTTACTGTCCGCTCTGAGGCTTTATAACTTAGCTGTGCCTTTTCTACTCGTCCCTTTCAGTCTCCTTTTCCATGTGATGCAGTGGCAAGAGAATCACCCACCTGGGAGGCCACTGTGTAGATTAAATTATATATATAGAAAAGCAATCAGAGTTCAGTGTGCATCCTCATTTTAGTTATCTGTGTGTGGGGGTGTGATTCTTCAAGACCTTTACTGGATGGTTCCCTCAGAGCCGGAGGACACACGCCCAGGAGGCTGTGGGAGGGGGGGCACTGCTCTCAGCTACCCACCCCTCCATGGAATGAACTCTGGGCAAGACCCAGCTGCCTGTGGTCAGCATGGTGGACGGGCTCCAGCACTGTCACCTCTGCAGGGTCACAGCTTCTTGATCATAAGCACGTGTGCCAATGGCATGTGGAGGCAACAGCAGTGCTTCAGACCCAGCCTGTCTAGGGAGTCCCCCTCCATGCACTCAGCCCATAGCAGCCCCAGGTAGGTCTTTACTTCGTGATAGAATCTTGCTGCAGGTGAAGCAGCGCACAGCGGATGATCAAGGAAGATGCAGGGCGGTCGCCGCTCTCACCCCAGGCCACCGCCCCCCTCCTCCATCCTCAGTTATCTTTCATTATCATATCTGAGAAACTCTGGCCTCACCAGATTTGGTTCACATCTGGTATGGTACACGCTGGATTGCTAGTTTGTGCAAGCATACCCCAAAGGCCCCCGTTAATCACGGTCTTGAAAATGTAGAGATCCCGTCCTCCCTCTATAGTCTCACCAAGCAAAACATGCAGAAAAGCGTGTTGTTCAGTGTTCAAGGTCAGGGGCTGGGTATGGGGGGAGGTGACCAGCCCTGTATATCTCTCTTATAATGATGACTGTCCAAGAGGCAGGTCTTGATCTCCTTGGAAATGCTGGCCATGCAAGGAGGTGGACAGGCCCTTAATAGTTGCTAGGGTGAGTAGCTAAGATATAAAAACTTGCTGTGTGTAGATCCTGGCAGTGGAGGTTGTATCCAGTCGGCCACTCCAGACTCCCTGCACATAGTTCCGCTAGTAGACCTGTATCACCATTGGTGTCTCTGGGTCTTTTCTCTGAACTCACCGGACATGACCCACCCTAGGCTTAGAGTCTGCGGGGTGCAGCAGCACGTATCCGTATAACTTATTGTTTGCGTGCTCAGACAGTGGAACATGCTCTAACACCTCCTTCATCACTGATCTGTCCCGCATGTGAATTAACTTTGTCTCCTTCTATTGATGTCAGCTACCACTGAAGAACCACTAGGCAGAGCAAAATATTTTCTGAGCAGAACAACTTTGCCAGACCTTGGTTACCTTCAGTTGTGAGAATCCTGTCCTTGTTGGGATTTCCATACAACCCTTTAGTGAATTCATCTAAAAATGCCTGGAAATAGAAAGAAATATAGTTACTGACTACAACAATGTTCTGTAAATATATTAATCCAATTCTTTGTAGTACTGATCACCAGACAGACATCAATTAGAAACAATAGTTCTCCCTAGATTTCCTCTTACCCAGAGACTTTTTCATTACAGGATTGCCATCGAACCTAGGCATTTTCTCAATAAATACCAGTGCTGATTTCCTTTATTTCATGGGAAGACCACAGTTCTATCCCAGACGCCTGAGAGTAACTAAGAACTCAGAAAAGAACCTTATATTTGCTATCTTTTTAAAGTGCTAATGTTCGTAATTTGTAACAATAGCCCTTAAAGTCAGAGAACAAAAAGATAATAACTACTTCTGCAACCAGGTTTGAGCCGTGCTACATGCTAGACACCACACAAAACATGTCAAATACATCTTCTCTTAGTTTCCACATCGAGTTTGAGAGGTGTTCTTGCCACATTCATTTGACACACAATAAAACCGAAATTCAGAGAGGTGGCCTCCCTCAACCTTTAAGTGGCAAAACCGGAATTTAAACCTAGCTGTACCTTTCTTCTTTGCACTTCTATACTGTTTGCATTTTGCTATAACTATGCACAATTTATAAAATCAATATAACTTTTCAAGAATGAGAACCAGATTTTGGTACTCAGACTGGGCCAACCAGCTCTAGGTCAACATTTACAAGGCTGGTGTAGGGGGCTCAGTGCTTAGTTCATGCGCTTTGACTGCCTCTCTGCTACTGAATACTATACTGTTATTTCTAGCTTTAGACCCTCCCCTCATAGACTTCTATAGACGGGCTGTGCTCTATCCATAAAACCCTTAAATTCTTGAGGTTTCTCTTATTTCGTCTTTTCTCTGTAAACAGAGCCATAACTTGGACTTCATTCAGTCAGTGTTAAAATGTCTGGGCCACTTTTATGCCAATGACTTTCTGCTTCCTCCTAGGAATTTAAGTACAATTATCTTATCTCTTGCTAAACTGTCTAGGAAGGACTGTGTGAGTTATCAGCATTATCTCATGAAGTCTTATGACAACCCCCCCCCCCACAGCAACCAACACTTATGGACAGGGAAGTGAAAACATTATTATTTACAGATCCACAAAGACATCTGGTTGCACTTAGGTTCACTTGTCAGAATGATGAGAAGAGATATGTAACCATACCTGCTGGATTTCATCATCACCTAGATGTACGAGCAAGTAAACTTTTTGTAAGGTTTTCCGCCAGCTTCTGCTACTAAATTTGAACAATTCCGAAAGGATTAGGTTAGCAAAAATAGCTTTGGGAAATCTCAAATTTCCGGTTCCAATCATGGGAAATACGATGGATGAAAAAGATAACTCTTCTACAGTTGCCAAACATTTCTTGATTATTTTTGCCATGATCTGAAATGTACAAAATACATTCATCTAAGTTAGGGCTTAAGCTGGCAGGAAGCAGAAAGAGCTATGGCTCCAGCAACTGTGACTAGGTCTCCTCCGCTCTTCCTGGCTTTGTCTGGGTCTAGGGAGTCAGAAAGGGAAAACAAGAGGAGAGAGGATGTTCCAGAGAAATTGCAATTCATGAAGGAAGGAGGCTCCAGTAGTATGGGAATGGCTACATAAACAATGGTGTCTTGTTGCAATTAAAAGCAATGTTTATGGACATTGGATAAATGTTTGTTAATTTTTTTTAAAAAGCAGGATTAAAAAAATGTCTGGAAGGGAATCCCAACTAAGAAATATGTATTCATAAAATTGCCCTGAAGAGAATACAATAAAATGTTAACCACATTCATTTCCAGGTGGCTGGATTACAATTTTTATTTTGGTCTTTGTACTTTCTGTATTTCCTGCAATATACTCGTATTACTTTCATATTCTGAAAAAAGAAAGTTGGGAGTAGAGGTGAGAAGTCATCAAAAGAAGAGCAATGACCCCTCATTCTTCACCACAGCTTTGGCTGCATCTTGTTGTCATAGTGAAGGATGATTACACTAATTTCAGATATCATTCCTGGAGAAACCCAGGATGGTTACTACTTTCAAGGGTCAATTATTCTGAAATCACTGGTAGCTATGATGGACTGTTTACAGAATGTAATAAAGATGTCAATAAATGGACAAGGTCCAATCAATACTAGGGTTTCTCAACCTTGTCCAGAAAAGTTTGTGTTGTGGAGGCCGATGTATACATTGTAGGACATTTAGCCGCATCCCTGGCCCCCACTTCCTCTTGATCAGTAACCGATGTAACAAGCCAAAGGTCCCCTGGGGAATACATTCACTTCGCTTGAGAACCACAGATCTCTACAGTGCCAGAAGACTACCAAAGCTACCAATGAAGTAGAGAATGAAGGATTTTCTCTACCTGCTGAGAGCGCCCTGCTGCATTATCCCAAGTTGGTGCCACGACATGGAAGACAGCTTGGCAGTTCAGATTACAGCCACTTGTTATGAATATGCTACCTATTTTCTCCACTGTTCCCTGCTTGACAGCATACAACTCTTCCTGGAGCTTTGGACCAGCTTTCTGCAAAATAGCCCGAGATAGTGGTCCGTTTCCAAGTTGAAGTGTCTGGGAAACAGTGTTGACAATCACATGGGCCTTAAGGAAAACAGCAACATTTTGTTAGAAATTGAATCAGTAATTATTAAGCACCTACGACTTGCCAAGTATTGTGGGGTAATGCATAAGACATGTTTTGCCTGTCATACTGACCTGTCAACCTTAACCTGGGGGGGGGGGCTCACAATCTATTATTACCATAATGAGTTGAGCCCCAAAACTTAGAAATAAAGGAAATACATCACCCACCAATGTCGACTCAACATGTGATGAGTCAGAGTAGGGCTATGAAAATGAGCAAATCAGAGACCATAGACAAAGAAGGAGAATCTGAATGAAAGGTAGACGCAGAAAGAGGAAGACAGTGAGACAGAGACAAAAACACAGAATGTTGAGAGAGACCTTGGAAGAAAGAGTTGCTTCTAGGCTGGTAGGAACTGAGAGTAATTGTTCTGACTTTATTAACATACCTAAAGAAAGAATGGGTCCGTCTGAAGGGTAGGGGGGTGGGGTCTGATCAGCCCTGAAGGCCTAGATAAAGGAAAGTCATTGAGGTGGAGGTAGGCAGTGTCCCCTCAAGCCTGTCCAGGGGTATCAAGAGTTCTCCAATGCCTGCTGAGGCTATCCCTTTGGTGAGATGGGGTCATGACCTGATGCCAATAGATATTAAGTATTCAATTCATCCAACTCCATTTATTCTGATTTCATATTCAAATTTGGAGGGGAGAATGCTTTGATCATGTGGATTTTGAGTATTCTGATTCCTTGGGGAGTACTTCTTCATCGTAAATTAAAAAGTTTTTATGTCATTGGCCACTTAATAGTTCATTTCTCACTCTCATGGGTCCACCTCAATCTTATATGAGGTCACTTAACATAAACTAATCTTAGGACCTGAGAAGCTCCCCGCAGGGACAAAAGTCAATGAGCTTGCAAAAAAAAAACAAACCAAAAAAAACAAAAAACAAGATCCAGCCCACCTTCACCCCACTCTCTGCTTACTGATTCCTACACAGTTTGGGGAAGTAATATATTAACATATAAAACAACAAAATATTCTTAATGTTTAAATCAGTTCAAGATAATCAAAAGAAACTCTGTGTTAAAAAATACAATTAAAAAAATACAATTAGTAATTGCTATAGAATTTCAAATACGGCAGGAATCCTTTAGACTGGACTGCTTAGTAAAGTCTTTACAAAGAGGATAAGGGATGGGGCACCTGGTTGGCTCAGTCAGTTGAGTGTCTTCCTTCCACTCAGGTCATGATCTCCAGGTCCCACATCAGGCTCCCTGCTCAGTGGGGAGTCTGCTTCTCCCTCTCCCTCTGCCTCTTCCCCTGCTTGTGCTTTCTCTGTCTCTGTCTCTTGTTTGTGTCTTTCTCTCTCCCTCTCTCAAATGAATAAATAAAATCTTAGAAAAAAAAAAAAAAGAGGATAAGGAATGAAGCTGGGACAGGGAGAAAGAAAGCAATAAGGATTCTGGGTGGGTGAATATTTGAGAAAACACATAGAATTGAGAAAGGTCAGAAAGTAGTCCAATTTAGCTAACAGAGAGTGCTAATGGTGAGAGACAGGGCTGGAAAGAGATTTGGGGCCAGGCCGTGGAAGACTCTGAGAGCTCTCATTTTTTGGACTTTCTGATACAGGCAGGAGGAAGCACCTGATGAACATGCGTCAAACAGCTAGGGAGAGGGCCGACTGGAGGGTAAGAGAGGTGACTAGGGATGCTGAAGGACAATGAAAATGAAAGGGAATACACAAGAGAGAGGGTGTGAGGAGGCTGGGAAACTAGTTGGATAGAGAAAGGAGCTCAGAGAAGAGTTAGAGGACTCCAAAGTTTATATGACACCATCCAATGGTGAGAATAGGTACCCTGACAGGGATGAAAAGAGTTTAATAATCAACCTAACAGACTATGTAGTGAAAAGACCTCAGTTTCCTCGTTTATAAGATAAGGATATGGAATTTCTATCTTAACTAGATTGTACCACTAACTGGGTGAGATAAAATTCAAAATGGTCTGTTGTGGGGTCTGTTGTGACCTTAAGTCATAGAATCAGTGAATCAGACCCCAGTGTTTCTTGTTGGATTTGCTCAATAGCACCACTTACCTGGAAATTAATAACATTTCCAGCCATTAATATGAGGTTTAGACCTTCTGTGGTTTGGGCTGAGGCTATCTCATCTCCGTTCGGAAGACAATTTTTCCCGCTGACTTGGTCTTTGGACTGTGGAGAAAACAGTAAAAATAATGACCAGGCAACGCTATCTGGAGACTTTCCTCTTAGGTTTCCAAACAGAAAATAGCTATTAGATTCTACACCTCTCTAACTTAACTCATAATCCAACCTTAAGATTCAAAAGCAAATAATTTATTACCACAATTTTTTTAGTATACTGTATATAATACTCCAGTTGCCTGTGAGCTCTTTTACTTATTCCCCAATTCTAGCTTAGCAGACCCTGTTCATACCCCCTGGCTCTTACAATTTAAGGGCACTCTGGTCATATTTCCAGCTGTCTTTATTTCTTTCCTTTTTTTTTTTTTTTTTTTTTTTTTTTTTTTTTTAGAGATAGAGGAGGAGCAGGAGAAGAAGAAAGAAAATCTTAAACAGGCTCCAGGTTCAGTGCTAAGCCCAATTTGGGGCTTAATCCCATGACCCTGAGATCATGACCTCAGCTGAAATCAAGAGCCTGATGCTCAACCAACGATCCACCCAGGCGCCCCTCCCATTGTATTTCTTGTCTGAAGACCTTCTGTAGTGCCAAAGCCTGCTTTGCTTGCAGGCGCAGCAGAGAGGAATTGCAGGTAAATTAAGCCACCCTCCCACCCGCTCAAGCCCTCATCCAATGATTGACAGTTCGTTTAAAACCAGGCAGCAGGGCTGCCTGGGTGGCTCAGTGGGTTAAGCCTCTGCCTTCAGCTCAGGTCCTGATCTCAGGATTCTGGGATCAAGTCCCACATCAGGCTCTCTGCTAGGCAGGGAGCCTGCCTCCTCCTCCTCCTCCTCTCTCTCTCTTTCTCTACTTGTGATCTCTCTCTCTGTCAAATAAATAAAATATTTTTAAAAATAAATAAATAAATAAAATCAGGGAGCAACCTTGCCTCCCAGGTAGGACTCACTCTGAGTTTTCCCAGTGAAATTAAGTGGTAACTGATTTGGTAACACACCCTATTAGTATCTTTTACTTCCCTATTTAGATCATTTGCACTTGAATCCTGTTTCAGGTTCTCTTCTGAGGGAACCCAAACTAAGACACACCCCTCAGTTCTACGCATAATGCATTTGTAGTTTTGACTACTAGACAGCCAGTTTTATTTTATTTTTTTTTAAGATTTTATTTATTTATTTGACAGATCACAAGTAGGCAGAGAGGCAGACAGAGAGAGAGGAGGAAGCAGGCTCCCTGCTGAGCGGAAAGCCCGATGCAGGGCCTGATTCCAGGATCCTGGGATCATGACCTCAGCCGAAGGCAGAGGCTTTAACCCACTGAGCCACCCAGGCACCCTGAGACAGCCAGTTTTAGAATCTAAAGGATCATCACAGATCATCCAGTACAGAAACTTCATTCTCCTGGGGGAAAGAGAAAATCCAGTGTACAGAGATGAAACCACTTACTCAAAGTCAAACTAGTAGCTGATGAAGGCACAATCCTTTATTCTGCTCTTCAGAGAAACTATGAAGAGGAGCTGATCTATCTGACTGTATTTTCGCACTTACCTATGGTAAAAACATGGTGCACATCACCTCCCCATCCCCCTATACCTCATCATCCACACCTGTGATAGATGTTAATCGGTATCAACACTCTTTTTCAATCAATCCAGCTAGTTTCAGAGTCTTAGTCAACACAGAGCCCCAGGAAACAACTGTCTCTCAGTGCTAAGTAACCCATGAAATGAAATGTACTTTTCATGCCTGATCTAACTCAAAAAGGTTATGGGTTTTCTTTGCTTAAAACAAAACAATGTTAGAGAATTTTCCACACTCTACTTTCTATAAAAAACAGAAAACCCCAGAAGAACTGGGAATGCACTTCTTCAACAGTCCTTTTCGCTAGCTCAGGAATTTCATTCTTTGTACTCTCCTGCATGGACTCTGGTATGTTTGGTGCAAGCATGATTAATGAACTCCCACCCTGAGAATTCCTTTGGTACAGACTCTTTCAAAGCACTGATATGAAGACCAGAAAAGAACCAGCCACATTCCCTGTCAAATTTTGTTTTTTCCTTCTCAGTGTTATGGCTGGTGTCTTTAATTGTTGTGAGTTCTTTTCACCTCCTCCAAACAACCTGTTATCATGATCTTCTTGAATATATCAAACTCAATCCAAATCCCATCATCCTCTGCTGTTTTTTATGTCTTCCCATAGCATTGACTTCACATTCAATTTGGTCACTTGATATTTAGAAATGATATGGCAGAAGTCTTTAGAAATATCCTCATTCCAGGTCTTGATTATATTGATCTTTGTTCTTCCTTGAGTTCAGTGGCCACAGATCTGAATGATACCTCTAACTCCTTAACAGCTGACTTGGGGCCATGTTACCTCACAGGGACACTGTCCCTTTATAATTTATTGTTTCAATCAGGTGATGCTTCTTCTGCAAGATCTTCATATGAAAGGATCCAGAGCCACCAGAAATGGTGCTGGCAACTTTCTCAGTAGCTTCTCTTTTTCATACAAGGCTACGACCAAAGTCACATCATATGGGAAACAGAGATGGGCCTTTTACTGAAGACAGGCTCTTAACCCAAGCAGGTGTCCACCACTAAAAAATAAAAAGCAAAAGGCAAGTATTCAGACAAAATCTTTGGCATAAAAAGAAATCCTGATATTGGGGTGCCTGGGTGGCTCTGTCATTGGGCGTCTGCCTATGGCTCAGGTCATGATCCCAGGGTCCTGGGATCAAGCCCCGCTTTGGGCTCCCTGCTCAGCAGGAAGCCTACTTCTCCCTCTGTCACTTCCCCTGCTTGTGTTCCCTCTCTCACTGTGTCTCTCTGTCAAATAAATAAACAAAAATCTTTAATAAAGAAAAAAGAAAGAAATCCTGATACTAATGAGACTCTGAAATATAGTATGTCTACCTAAAATGGTATCACTGTCAAACAGCTCAGTGAAAGATGTGGTATTCATGAATGCAATGGAGCTAATCCTCACCTAATGGAATAGATCTATTCCATTAATAATTACTTTGCAGTGAAGGTTTGTACAATCAATCTGATTTTCCCACTGACATTCATTATAATATTGGAGAGGTGATTTTTTTTTTTCTGGAAAAAAACAAACAAACCTGGCTCTTAAAGATTCAATAAATACACAAAATAATGCATGAGTAGTTAAAAATGAACTGTTAGGGAGTGCCTGGTTGGCTCAGTTAGTTAAGCATTTGCCTTGGGCTCAGGTCATGACCCCAGGGACCTGGGATCCAGCCTCCCATCAGCTCCCTGTTCAGCAAAGAGTTTGCTTCTCCCTCTGCTCCTCCACCTGCTTGTGCACTCTCTCCCTCTCTCTCTCTCAAATAAATAAATAAGAGCTTTTTAAAAATGAACTTTTAGAAGTAAGTACAATATTGAGGCACTGGGGTGGTTCAGTTGTTTGAGCATCCAACTCTTGTCTTCTACCCAGGTCATGATCTCAGGGTTGTGAAATTGAGCCCTGCTGTGGGCTCCTCTTCAACAAGGAAGCTGCTTGAGATTCTTTCCCTCTGTCCCACCCCCTGCATGGGTGCTCTCTCTCTCTCTCTCAAAATAAACAAATCTTTTTTAAAAAGAAGCAAATACAATACTATTCTTTAATAGTTACAATAGCTAAAAACATCAAAAACAATTGTGTGCAGTAATAATAAGAAAAAGTAATAAAATTAAGTCTGATTCCCTAGATGCAGAGCCTGAGACGAGGATTCATGTGCAATTGAATTATTAAAGTTGTACCCTCAGGAAAAACATGTAGGAAGTGAGAGATAAAGACAGAGAATGTGGTTTAAGTAAAACTAGTTTCTGCCTGATCCTGCAAGGACTCTGGAGTATATAAATTACATCATGGTGTTGTCCCAACCTTGAGACAGGGAGCTGTGTTTTTGCACCTGCATACCAATCAGTTTATTGTCTATGGGTCATCCTGGTTGGGTGATGAATGTAAACTCCCAGGCACCTCCAGACTCCAGACCTTTAGTCTGCTAAAGGCAATCCCTCTGGAGAAGATTGTAAGTGTGAGTCCTTCACAGCAATATATATAGCAGCTGGACTGTGAGTGAACCTAATAAGTAAAAGAGACTCTGGCACATCTGGAGAAGCATCAAAAGGAAGGAAAAGCACTAAGCGAGGTCCAAGGAGTAACTGCACAAGTTTGGGAGAAAGAGAATGTGGCTTAGCAGCTAAGTCATACAAAAATATCTAAGGGATTTTGATTGATGACAAATTCTGTATAAATCAACAGTGATGTAGCTGTATTTAAGAAGAAAAAAAAGTCACCAAACGCTGGGAAGAACATGGAGCAACAGGAACTCTAATTCTGCAACTTGGTACAGCCACTTTGGAAGACAGTCTGGCAGTTTCTTACAAAACTAAACATACTCTTACCATAGGATCCAGCATTTGTGTTTTGTGGTATTTACCTAAATGATTTGCAAACATATGCCTACACAAACCTGCACATGAGCTTTATTCATTATTGCCAAAACTTAGAAGCAACCAAGATGTCCTTCAATAAATGAATGGATAAATAATGGACATGATGCCTCCATAAAACAGAATATTATTCAGAGAAAAAGAAGAGAGCTATTAAGCTACCAAAAGACATGGAAAAAATATAATGCCTATTGTTAAGCAAAGGAGCCCATCTGAAAGGCTACATATTATATAATTCCAGCTACATGACATTTGGAAAAGGCAAAACTGTGGAGAAATTAAAAATATCAGTGGCTGGGGCACCTGGGTGGCTCAGTAGGTTAAGCCTCTGCCTTTGGCTCAGGTCATGATCTCAGGGTCCTGGGATCGAGCCCTGCATCGGGCTCTCTGCCCGGCAGGGAGCCTGCTTTCCCCTCTCTCTCTCTCTGCCTACTTGTGATCCCTCTCTGTCAAATAAATAAATAAAATCTTTAAAAAAAAATCAGTGGCTGCCTGCAATTTGGAGGAGGGAGGGAGGGAGGGATGGATAGCTGGAGCACAGGGCATTTTCAGGGAACTGAAATTATTCCATATGAAACTGTTACTGAGGACACATGACACTGTGCATTTGTCAAAACCCAGAGAATCATCCAACACAAAGAGAGAACTCTAATATAATGGACTTTTAGTTAATAATAATGTAGTGATATTTTTCATCAATTGTTAACAAAGGTATCATTAATCCAATATCTTAATATTAGGGAAACTGGGCAGGAAGAATTATCCTTACTTTCTGTTTAAATGTTCGTTAAGCCTAAAACTGCTCTAAAAATAAAGTCTATTCACTTAAAAATGGGTAGTGATGAGATTCGGGGCTATAATAAGAAAAACATAATAACAAGAATAGGTATGGTGAATAATAATCCTATTCTTCTCACTGGTAAAAACAGGTAATGCCTGGCGTATTGTATTTTGTTCAAGGTGCTAAACTTTGCAAAGGGATTATGAAAACTAGCTATGGTGTTCAGAAGAGGGAAACTGATGCTGTAAAAGGATTTAAAACCATATCACATGAGGATATAAAAAAGGAACTGAATATATTTAACTTGCAGAAATACAGATATTAGGTAGGATGGAATGCAGGGAGCCACACACAATAGTTACCCTTAAACACTGGAAGGACTATCTTATAAAGGATTTATTTCTACAACCCTAAAAGGAAGAGCAAGGATAGTAAGTCAAATATGTTTGGGCTTCATACAATGCTATTTTTTTTCTTTTTATTTATTATTTACTTATTTATTTATTTTTGGTGATTAGTACTGTCCTAAGGTAGAATGAGTCAACTTGAGGAACAGTGAGTTTGCAGCCAAGCAGAAAAGGGACAATCACTTAGTGGTCTGATTTGACATCTGAACTATTTTGTGTTTTGAGAGGTGCAGGGGGCATTTTTTTTTAAATGAAATTCACCAGTCTATTTCCAGTGCATTTTACCTAGTAGAAATAGTTTGTTACAGTACTTTTTTGTCGGAAGTCATAACAACCTCAAAACAAAGGACAGTGAACTATTCAAACACCACTTAGTAATAATACTTGACCATGTAGCAGCTGAGACATACAGCTATCTAAAGCACAATTCATATCTATCATTTCTCATCAAATTAATAACTTGTGTTTTCCATTCTTTCCTACTTTGATAATTATAATATTTTTATTGATTGAATACCTGTTATGTGTCAGTTAACAAATATTATCCTACTTAATTTAATCTTCACAGTGACCCTGTGAGATAGATTTTATCTCCACTTTTTAAATGAGGAAACAGAGAATAAGGAAGTAATGTTGCCATTGTTATCCAGCTAATTACAGAAGGATTTAAATATATACCTTTGGGGGTCCCTGGGTGGCTCAGTCAGTTAAGCTTCTGACTCTTTATTTCAGCTCAGGTCATGATCTTGGGCTCACGAGATCGAGCTCCACATTGGGATCTATGCTCAATGCAGAGCCTGCTTAAGATTCTCTCTCTCCCTCTCTCTCTGCCCCTCCCCCCTCTCTGTTTCTTTCTCTCTCTCTCTTTCATAAATAAGCGATAAATAAATAAATAAAATCTTTTTTAAAAATAAGAAATGAAAAATAAATAAATATATACCTTTGGGATTCTAAAGGCCAGTGGTGCTCTATTTTGATAGAGAAGGCTTAGGTGTGACAATCTGCCTAGAAGTAGGGGGTGATAAATGGAACTTGTCTTGAAGCTGTACTTTCTTGGACTGTGTAAGTAAGATGGCACCCAATGATCCCTACCACTTGGTTATCATGCCTTTGAATAGTTTCCTTCCATATCGTATCAGAGTTGGTATTTGTGACCAACAGAATATGGCACAAGTGATGCTATATCCCTTCAGAGGCTTGATTACAAAAGGCACTTATAGCCCTCCGCATCCCCTCAGATAACTCAGTCTGGGGGCAGCCAGCTGCCATGTCATGAACACCCATGTGGACACACGCTAGTGGCAAGGAACTGAAGCCACTGGCAGCAGTTATGTGAGCAAAGGTAGAAGAAACCCTCCAGTTCTCATCAAGCCTTCTGATGATTACAGCCCTGATGAACAGGTTGATAGGAACCTCATGAGAGATCTTCAGCCAGGATTACCCAATTAAGCCACCCCCAAATTCCTGGCCTTCAGAAAGTATAAGACAATAAACGCTTGCTATGTAAAGCCACTAACTTTGGTATGCAGCAATAAAAAATTAACACTGACTGCATGCTTATTTAGGATGGCTTGAAGAGGCTGGCTACTGGAGATAGCAGGGATAAGGTTAAAACCTCTCCCCCCTCGCCCTTTGTGTCAGAGTCATTGCTGAAAGCCAACCTCTAATGACTATACCAGCAATATGAATGTTTAAGGATCTTACAAAAAATTAAAAACAAAAAACAAAACAAAACTCAAAACCCGACCAAGCAAAAACAAAACAAAATAGAATCGAAAATAGAGTACATCAGTTCCCTAGCAAGAAATGCATGTTGTAGCAGAACTTTTTTTTCCAAATTGCAACAAATGTTTTTGTTTGCAAAACAGGTATGGGTTGGGATATAAACTATATATATCTATTTAGGGTGCATTGTGGTTTACGAGAAGTTTGTAAACTGTTGCACTACACTCTATATCACTCTGCCTCCCCTGCTGGCTTCTTCAGCTCACAATGGCTGGAGTGCAGACTGAGGCTCTCAACTAACCCTGTTAACTCCAGAGGTGCTGAATATGCTTAGATATTAACCATTTACCAGAGTATACCCATAAAAAAATGTTAAAAAAAAATGCTCTTCAGGTGTCAATACTCTTCAGGCTCAGGTGGCAAGTATGTGGAGAGAGATGGGCCTTCATATTTTGCAACTTTGGGAGGTTGGTAGGAGTCCCAAGAATGAAACAGTTTTAAATGTAGAAGTCTGCTAAGTGAGGGATACCAAATGTTTGTCTTTTCACAAAGTACCAACTAAAAAATGTCCAATGTTATCAATTCCTTGCTGTATAAAGAATCAGATATTATTTTAGTCTGGTCCTAAGACTATTAGCTTCTTAAACCATTATTGAAAGTTGAGCTTCTTTTCTCTCCAGAGACCATCTCAATTTCTGGCTTTCCTGACTGACTGGTTTCCTTCAAAGCTATGTGAGGAAGATCCTAATTTCTGCTTCTCTTCTCTTGACCTCATTCATTCCCTAGCACTCCCCACCCCCCAACAAGTCTTCTATCCCCACCTGTAATTTCAGGGATACTTCTTGGCTTCATCAACTCTTCCTAAAGATCATAGTTGGGAGGGGGTGTGCCAGCAAAGTATGGCCATTAAAAATGGTATTTATTTCATCATATTATCTAAAATATAAACTGTTTTGTGGCTTAAGTTCTTTGGGAGATTGTTACTACCTTTAAAATGGTTCTTTTAATTTTCTAAATTCTTACTGTCTTCCTTGAGGAGTGATCAGATTCTGAATACATCTCAAAGGTAAAGTGAACAGGGTTTCCTAAAGAACTGGGAATGGGATATGAGAGACTCCTAGGTTTTGGTCTGAGCAACTAGGATGAAGTTGCTATCAACTGAAATCGGGAAGCCTGTGGATAATGTAGGTTGGTGGCATAGAGTGAGGAGGATGGGGAGTTTTGTCTTGGACATGTTATATTTGTATCATATACTTTTAGACAACCAGGTGAAGAAGTCTAGTATGCAGTGAGTGTAGACATTGGAATTCATGAGAGAGTATTGACTGCAGATATGAACTGGGAGTCATGGATATATAGACAGTATTTAAAGCCATTAAACCTCCCAGGAACTGAGTGAAGACAAAAAGAATAAAGGAACTGAGCTCTACCTTCAGAGCTGAAGATAAGAAGGTAAATGAGGAAAAAATGAGAATGAGGAGCTCCTGGGTGGCTTAGTCAGTAAAGCATCTGCTCTGGTCACGATCCCAGGGTCCTGGGATGGAATCCCTCATCAGGCTCCCTGCTCTTCAGAGAGCCTGCTTGTCCTCTCCTCTGCCTGCTGCCCTTCCTGCTTATGCGTGCGTGCACGTGCTCTCTCTCTCTATCAAATAAATAAAATAAAATCTTAAAAAAAAAAAAAATGAGAATGAGCAGCTACAGAGGTACAAAAACAAAAACAAAAACAAAAAACCCAAAGTGTGGCATCCTAGCAGCAAGTGGAGAAAATGCATTTGGAAGGAGCCATTGAATATTAAGTCGAATGCTACTAAGAGATCAAGTAAAATGAGGACTGCTAAGTGGCTAGTGAGTTTAGCAATAAATGATTCTTGTCATTGGCAAGAATAATTTTTGTGGAATGATGGGGTAAAAGCCTTTTTTAGAATGGATTTAAGAAAGAATAAGAGGGGAGGAAATGGGGATGAGTAATGACAAATTCAACTGAGAAATTTTCCTGCAAAGGGAAACAAAGAAAAGAAGCAGCTAACTACCAAGAAATTGAGGTCAAGAGAAGTTTTGCTGTCTGTTTTTTTGTTACTGCACAAAAAACAATTCTTTCGGCTAGGTCTTCACAGAGAACTGTTCAAAGCCTGAGTTAATTCCAGTAAGAATGGGTGTCTTTGATGGATTTCCTAAGCGCTTGTGTGGCCTCTAATCTGACTTCATTTGTCTATGAAATGGGTAATAATAACTGTAAACATCAAGAAAGAAGAGAAATTGATTACCTTTGTAGTCAGAAAACTCAACCAGGGCTGAACTCTCTGGGAAAAGCTGCACATTGGTTACTCCTTCTCCTCCATTTGTGGAGTTTTCAAAGAAAATTGTTATTAACTATTATTAATATGAGGTGGCAGATTTTCAACCCTAATGGTTCTTGTCAGTTCCAGAAGTCTTGGGAAAATCTCAGATTGCTGAACTCTATTGTGTCCGACATAAGCATTAACAGATGTCCTGACACCTACAAATAAAAATCAGTTTATTAGTCTATAATTTCATTTCATAGCAAAAGAAAACAGATTTTGAAGTGTAATTTGATTTAGAGGCTATAACTAAGAATTAAAATTTAGATACTAAATTTCTATATAAAGTTAAATTTCAGTGTCAACCTCAACCTGTCCCACATTGCTTACTGCGAGTGCATGAGTACATAGCTATCATTAACAGTGGCCTCCATTTAAGACCATTTTGGGAACATGGATCAACAGTTACCATTCTAAATGAAATCAAGTACATGCAACCACTTTATAAGCTGATAATAATAATGAGGATGATTATAATACAATATTGTTTCCTAAATCTAATTTCCTTCTCCCGCTCTTACTTTACCATAGCTTGGTCTCTATTTGGACATGTCATTGTCATAAAAATAAATTCCTGTAACTATTAAGTTCATGGGAAATTTGAGCGTATATTCACAGTGGTTAAGAAAATACACTCAGAAGTCAGAATGTCTAATTGGAATTCTGATTCAAATACTTACTAGCTTTGTGCCTAAGAACATGTCATTTAATTTTCTCAAAATCTAGACTTCTTCATCTATAAAATGGAAATAATAATGTACCTTTCTCATAGTGCTATATATTTTGAGAGTGAAGTAAGTAAAAGCTTAGCACAGTGCTTAGCATAGAGCAAGGCACCTGATGAATGCTAGTTATGGGTAGTATCAGAAGTGATAATATGTTATCCCTTGCAATCATCTTACTGGGAGTTAGAAAGAGCACAACTTTTAAACAAAACCCATTGTGGGATGCCTGGAATCTCAAAATAGGATACAACCACAATTTGCAATGAAAGGTTAAAAGATATTGTCTGCCTTACCAGTATTTTTGAGAAAAGTCACGACAGCAACTTTAATATTGGGTATTACTTCCACACTGAAGTAACCATTGGCTTCTGACAGGCCACTAATCAACTCCATAAGCACAGAGAGCACATTCTCCATCATGGTGGCTTGGATGTTGTGAAATGCAACCAAAAGGGAGGCTAGTGAATGGTCTTTTGAAAATTCATCTGTTTCATCCACTTTCAATTCATCCGTTTTATCCACTCTTCTGAAAAGCATTACTTTTGCATGAGGTCTTCCAACTTAGCAATTTTTAGAGAGACAGAAACACTTAAGATGTTAGTTTTACATCTGATTTGAGATTTGAAAGGATTTGGCCTGTATCTTATTTTCTGATGTTTTCAATGCTTTGGAAGAAAATAGATTTCACTCATTGCAGAAGGAAGGAAATAAGGAAGGAAGGAAGAAAAAGAAAGAAAGAAAATAGTAATTCTGGCTAAATGATTGCATAAAGTAATACCTTATTCTTTGTAAAATCAGTTTTACTCACCAAATCACAGGGAAAAAAAATAACAACCATGACAATAAATGATGACGCTCATCCACTGACATAAACTACTAGTGCTACAATTCATTACTGAAAAGAAAGAAGTTTCTGTTACTGCATAATGAAAGGGCAATCTACAGATAACCAAAATAAAAATGTTGCATGGTCATAAAGAAGATTGGGTACGGGGTAGCTATTTATGAGGAGAACAGAGATTATTACTTCCATTTTTCATTGTTTTTAACCCTTGAAAGAGAAATAAAGGAACTTTTAGTATGATAAAGAGACTTACTCTGAACTAAGAAGTTAATAGTATTCACAGTGAAGAAACAGGACAGTCTTTGTGGTAAATACCCAGTAGTGCAACTGCAGGGTCATAGGGTAGCTCTATTTTTAATTCTGAGGAATCGCCACACTGTTTTCCAAAGTGGCTGCACCAATTTGCATCCCCACCAACAGTGTAAGAGGGTTCCCCTTCCTCCACATCCTCTCCAACATTTGTTGCTTCCTGCCTACTGGAGGGGATTATGCTGAGTGAAATAAGTCAAGCAAAAAAAGTAAATTCTCATATGGTTTCACTTACTTGTGGAACATAAGGAATAACATGGAGAACATAAGGAAAAGGAAAGGAAAAGTGAATTGGGGGAAATCGGAGGGGGAGATGAACCGTGAGAGACTGTGGACTCTGAGAAACAAACTGAGGATTTTGGAAGGGAGGGGGTGGGGGATGGATGAGCCTGGTGGTGGGTATTAAGGAGGACACATATTGCATGCAGCTCTGGGTGTTGTACATAAACAATGAATCTTGAAACACTGCATCAAAAACTAATGATGTATTTTATGGTGACTAACATAACACAATTTAAAAAAAAAGGAAACAGGACAGCCAGTCTCCTTAGAAGTAGAGGAAATAAAACAAAAACTAAAAATGTGTTCTGTTACCACTCCTATTTGATATATTTTTCAGAATACTTCCTGGTCATCAAAATAAGGTGGTGAGAAGAAATGAGAATAAATATAAAAATGGAAAAGATAACAAAAACTTTCTTTACAAATACCATAGTCACATATTGTGAAAAATTTTTTTAAATCATCAACACCATCAAGAAAGTGAAAAGACAACTCACAGAAAGGGAGAAAGGATTTGCAAAGCATAGTTGATAAAGGACATGTAATCTAAATAAAGAACACTTAAAACTCAACAATAAAAAAACCAAATAATCCAATTTTAAAATAGGCAAAGGATTTGAAGAGACACCTCTCCAAGGATGACATACACATGGTCAATAAGGACATAACAAAATGTTGAACACCATTCATCATAAAGAAAATGCAAATCAAAACCACAATGAGCTAACACTTCACATGTACTGGAATAATTAAAATTTTAAAAGATGGACAATAACAAGTGTTGACAAGGATGCGAAGAAACTGGAAACCTCATACCTTGCTGGAATAGAAAATGGTACAACCACTTAGGAAAACAGTTTTGCCATGGAGTTACCATATAATCCAGATGTTCTACACTCAGACAGGAATATACCATAGAGGTGAAACATATGTCCACATAAAAACTATTTCACAAATGCTATGGACAGAATGTTTGTGTGTCCCCCAAATTCAGGTTTTAAGTCCTAATCCTCAATGTGATTGATGGTATTTGGAGATGGGGTCAGATGGGAAGTGATTAGGTTTAGATGATATCATGAAAGTGGAACCCCCATGAAAGGACTAGTGTCCTTATAAGAAGAGGAAATGACTAGAGCTCCCTTTCTGCCATCTGAGAAAATAAAAAGAGGGGGTCAACTGCAAATCAGGAAGAGGGTCCTCACCAAGAACTCTATCATGCTGACTTCCTGACCTCAGACTTCCAGCCTCCAGACTATGGGAAATCAGTGCTGTTTAAGCCACCAAGTCTATGGGATTTGTTCCAGCAATCCAAGTTGACTGAGACAACAAATGTTCACAGCAGCATTATTCACAATAGTCAAAAGGTGGAAATAATGAGATGTCCATCAATTGATGAATGGATAAATTAAAAATGGTATATCTGTACAATGGCATATTATTTGGCCATAAAAACTAACAAAGTTTTGATATATTCAGCAACATTAATGAACCCTGAAAACCTGCTAAGTGAAAGAAGTCAGTGGCAAAAGACCACATACTAAATGGTCTTATTTGTCTGAAATGTCCAAAATACATAGATTCACAAAGACTGAAGTATATTAGTGGTTACTGGTCTGTGGGGAGGAGGGAAAGGGGAGTGACTGCAAATGCACTTGGAGTTTCTTTGGGGTGATGAAAATTTCTAAAAATAGACAGTGGTGAACACTGTGAATATACTAAAACCCACTGAATTGTACACTTTTAAAGAGTGAATTTTGTGGCATCTAAGTTATATCTCAACAAAACTCTTATTTAAAAATAAGAATCGGGGCGCCTGGGTGGCTCAGTTGGTTGAGCGGCTGCCTTCAGCTCAGGTCATGATCCCGGTGTCCTGGGATGGAGTCCCACATCGGGCTCCTTGCTTGGCAGGGAGCCTGCTTCTCCCTCTGCCTCTGCCTGTCACTCTGTCTGCCTGTGCTCACTCTAACTCCTCTCTCTCTGACAAATAAATAAATAAAATCTTTTAAAAAAAATTAATAAATTAATTCTTAGAGAAAATATAGATAAAGATATATGAGATCACGTTTAGAGAATATCTACATATTAATGGCAAAAATAGTCTCAATAGTCTCTGTCCTTGCATAAATATATTACAAATGATATACTCTCCAAATTACAGATTATAATATATAAAATTCCTTAATTCAAGTCCAGTTAAGTGGTAATTTATAAAATTTGACAAAATGAAAGCAAACTGTGTTTTAAAAAACAAGACAATACCAAATGAAATAATGAGGGACTCGGCATGCTACACCTTAAAATGCATTTTCCACAGACTGGAAGAAAATATTTGCAAAAGACATAACTAATAAAAAACTGTTACCCAAAATATAAAGGACCTTTGGGATTCAACAATAAGAAAACAACCTAATTTTAAACCGGGCAAAAGACCTCAATGTAGGGACCTACTTAGCCAGAGTGACTCCATCTCAGTTAAACAGCCATTTTGTTGTTTGTGCAGTAAAACTTAAACTGACCTTGCCCCCCCACCCCCCAGAGGAACTTACTTAAAAGCAAGTTGGTCGACCAATATGGTCGACCAGTCCCTGATAACAGAGCCCAAATACAAGGACGGGTCAGGTCAGATGGAGATAACAGAGCCCAGAATGCAAGGATGAGTCAGGCCAGGTGGAGATAATCTCATTGGCCAGGCTCAACCGCATGGCCTTTGCCCTATAAAAGCTAGTCTGTGAAGCTGGGGGTGGTCGCTCTCTCCCTAAGAGATGGCCCCAGCCAGTCGGTTTGATTCTCCGTGCTGGCATGAAATAAAGTTTTGTTTGACCTTTGCTTTGTATCAGTCTCGGTCCTTTGATCATGGACCCCATCACTCAATAGATTCTTCACCAAAGAAGATAGACAAATGGCAAATAAGCATATGAAAAGATGCTTAACATTATATGTCACTGGGGAAATGCAAATTAGAAAAACAATAAGATACTACTACACACCTAGTGGAATGGTGATAATACCAAATGCAGGCAAAGGATGTGGAGCAATAGGAACTCTCATAGATAGCTGGTGGGAATGAAAATGGTATTCACTTTGCAAGACAGTTTGATAGTTTCTTACAAAACTATACATATTCTTCCCACACAATCCAGCAACCATGCTGCCGGTAGTTACCCAAAAGAGTTAAAAATTTATGTCTACAGGGGTGCCTGAGTGGCTCAGTTGGCTAAGTGTCAGCCTTTGGCTCAGGTCATGATCCCAGAGTCCTGGGATTGATCCCCTCATGAACCCCTGCATGGAGCCATGGAACCCCACATCCGGCTCCTTGCTCAGCAAGGAGTCTGCTTCTCCCTCTCCCTCTGCCTGCTGCTCCCCCACTTGTGCTCTCTTGCTCTGTCAAATAAATAAATAAATAAAATCTTTTAAAAAAATTATGTCTACACAAAAACCTACAAATGGATGATTATAGCAGTTTTATTCATAATTGCCAAAACTTGGAGGAAACTAAGATGTTATATAATAAGCAAATGGATAAATAAACCTTGGTATATTCAGACAATGGAATATTATTCAGCACTAAAAATAAATGAGCTCTCAAGCGATGAAAAAACATGGTGCATTACTAAGTAAAACAAACCAACCTAAAAAGGCTAACATAAGATTCCAACTATATAATCTTTTGGAAAAGGCAAAACTATGGAGACAGTAAAAAGATCAGTGGGTGCCAGGGATTAGAGGAGTGGGAAGGATAAACAGCAGAGCACAGAGGATTTCTATGGTAGTGAAACTATTTTGTATGATACTGTAATGGTGGATATATGCTATTAAACATTTGTCAAAACTCAAAGAATGTACAACAGCAAGAGTCAATGCTAATGTAAACTAGGAACTTTAAGTGATAATAATGGGTAAATGTAGATTCACCAATTACAACAAATGTACCACTCTTGTGTGAGATGTTAATAATGGGGGAGTTGGGGGGACGGCAGGTGGTATATGGGAACTTTCTATATCCTCCACTCAATTAAAAAAAATCTTTAAGTAGTAATTATAAAGCTAAGTAGTTCTAAATTAAAAATAAATGATATGACAAGTAAAATAGAAATTCCAGATATAAACCTTAATGTATCAAAAAGCTTAACATAAGTATTAAGAGGAATAAGAAAGTGAAGAGATGGATCATAATTTAATAAATATTGTTCAGAATGTTAGTTTTCATTATGAAGAAAATAAAATTAGATATAAATTCATACTTCACAATCAACACCTAACCGCAGTATATTAGCCTCTGATA